GACGGCTTAAAAACTGGTGACCGACTGCATCCATTATAGCTTAATTGCAGTAGATCATTAGTTTTTATGCCATTCATGTGCTTTAATTGTTTTCACATGGTGTCTTGTGCTGTATATGTTTCATGTATTAATCGTTGACACAATGAAAATGAAGAAATCTTGTGAAAGTGTAAATTACAATTATATAGTTTAGTGTGTGACTACGCACCCGACATTGGAGTAATCTTAGAATGGGCTGTAGTGAAATAACTAATCTGGATTGCGAAGACAGTAAGTAACTTATATATTTATGTATATCTACATGCAATCTACCTCACTGGAAAAATCATCAAATAATTTTCAATTGTTTAAATTTACCCTTGAAGATTTTAGAATCATTCTTGTTATCCATCCATTAATCTAATTGTTTGGTTGCTTACAGATCAAGTTATGCGGCCTTTGCTGCCTGATGTGTGTCGGGACTTGTGTTCTGGTGACTGTCACCACCACAGTTGTACACATGAGCAGACTACAGAGTCTGCGTGAATGTGTCTACACTCTCAAGACGCAGACCTGCACCTGCTACTCCGTCCTGCTAGAGTCTGCGTCTGAAAGAACAGATGAAGGTAGCTGACCCAATATCACTACTATTAGCTGCTAAGAAGCAATTTATGTGATAGGGATCATAGGATTGTTTTGTTGCCGGGGAGTTGAGTAGACCCATTGATAGTCAAATGAAACCTGATCCGCGAGTAGATTGAAATTCATTGTATGAGCCCGGAACTGTAATATTGACTATTTGGTTTTACATTACCTGTCATCAGTTCCAAATTGTAACATTCGTCAAAGTGTTACATGTTTTGGCGAGCTGTCATTTTCAAACCCTTCATTCAAGGAATATACATTAAATCCGCTTGTATATCTTTGTTAATGGTTTTAACTCACGACAAATACATATAAAAAACCAATATCTAAATAAATCAATCTGAACTTACCTTAGGAATTGTTCAGCTGTTAGGATAATAAATCTGTGAGGAAATACTGTATTTTCAATCTTTGCTTTTGTTATCAGCCAATACTGTGTACGATATCGACTCTGGTCTAAATTTACACTAACTCTAATAAAAATAACTCATTTTGTGCATACTTAGGGTCAAGATATGTCTTCAATACTACTCCAGACTGCGAGGCTATTCACGGAGCTCTCTACTCTTGTCTACGAGCTTTGTTTGGACTCTCTGTGATTGGCATTCTTGTCTGCATCTTCTGTTGTATGCTCGTCTACCAGCTCCTTAGGTAATTACATGATACAATGATTTAATTCAGTAACTACATATAATTTGAACCTAAATTGTTTCAATTCATGGATGGCAACAAGAAGCGAGGGGCCATAGCCACTCCTCGACGAAAATTAAATTAAAAGCTCTCTGAGCTTTGTAAGGCAGCCCAATGGCAAATAAATCTGTGTAATTTCAATTTGCAAAACAGAGTCCCCCAAAATCTCAAATCCACAGTATCTGAGGAAATGATTTTAATCCCAGATGCCATATTTAGTTACACCCACTGTTTGACTATGGTTTACTACCACAATCTGTGTATTTATTCAAGGCAGCAATCAGCAATTGTATTGTAGTAAGTAAATTAAGATGTTAGAGTCCCAGATTTTTTAACTCTTAGCTATTTTTGGGATGGGGTGAACGATATCAGAGCACCTCCCCCATGACCCTATGGTAACAAAATTTTTACAAATTTTTAAAATTATGCAAAAAACCTATAAATTTACAATACATAAAGCAAATTTAGTCAAACCATTTTGTACATACATTTTTGACATTTTCCGAGGGAGGACCTCCTCTTTTTACTGAGGGTTATGCCGTACCCTCAAGGCCCCCCTTATGGAACAGTTAAATGGACGCCCATGGCCACAACTGCGGGATCAATGATAAGTAATTTTGTTACTGAATTATTATCTGGTTAGGCTTACTTACCCCTCGGAAAATCTGTTACACCTATCTCAAGTTTATTATGCTTTATGACAATTTCTGGAACTAAAAAAGCACATTTTAATTTAAACATGTTAAAAGAGATATCTGGTATTTGCTCTTTAAATAGCCTTATGCGTATGTTAAAGCAAAATAGTAAACATCTTTTTAATAAATAAATAAATAAATAAAAATGCCTTTATTGATCAAGCGTTTCTCAGTACAAACTGCTTTTCAGAACAACTCTCGTCATATTATAAGTAACGATAACTTATAACAAACAATAAATAACAAACAAATAAATAGAAACAATAACAAAACAGAAACAAGAAAATCTAAATAACAACTAATCATAACCGTACAATTCCTTAATTTTGGCTCTAAAAGATGGCAAGGCATATTTTTTGAGGCCAGAAGGGAGGTCGTTGTACAGCTTTGGGCCGAAGTACGAGAAGCTTCTCCTTCCAAACTCAAGCCTCACTCTTGGAAAGTGAAGCTGGAGACCTCCATGGCAGGTACTGCGCTGAGAGACCTCCTCCCGGAAAGAGAGCCTCTCAAGAAGGTACTGTGGCTCCTGTAGGACAAAAGCCTTTTGCACCATGCAGCACGTCATAATCCTGCAAACTGTGTCTACACGTTTTTGAGATAGGGATTCTTCCCGTATCCATGGAACAAGATTCCTGTTGTTGGCCCCTCTGGATAAAATCCCTGCAGGTGCTACTGTTTTGTTCCCAAACTAAACTGTTAAAATATGGTATTTCTTTGATACACTTTTAAATATGAGGTGCCATTGCTGTAAAATGATTTAGGCCCAAGTTTAAACTATGGTATCATATACATTTTGATGGTATACTTCACCACTAGGACTAGGGCTTGCAGTGACTCAAACATAAATACTCTGTCTGATTAGATTTTGGTTTGTAGACTTCTGCCACAGATATAATACAGCGAGTTTTGGGGGAATGGAACTGTAATGTGCTATCTTCCTGACCTTTTAGATATTGTAGACTATTTATACATTTTGCAAGTAGTTTCTATAGAGCTAGTGCTTTTGTAGATTATTCAGTTGTTAATCTTTGTACAGTCACGAGCGTAAAAAGATGTATTGGGAGCAACTGGAGTTGCGCTGCCGCTACTTGTATGGTCAAGCGTCGAACCCCACTCGCGCCCCATCTCAGCCAACACAACACTGCGCTTGTTGTCAACAGTTCCGCTACCAGCAAGACATCCTTGCCTGGGAGCCTTCGGAGAACAGGTAAGTCAAAATTTGCAAGGAATCTTGTAAATTTGCAGCTTGATTGGTTCAAGGAAAGAGGCAGACTCTAGTTCCATAGCTTATTGTAAATGCCCCACTGGTTTTTATGGTTTAACTGGGTAAACCTATGCCTGTATCCTTGACCAGCTTTAGCCCAATGTTAGTGTCTGATTTATTGCCTGGTTGCTTTGAGACCAATCTGGGCTATTCTTCTAGCCCCCAAGTCTTTCCAACCCAAAACAATGTCTATTCTAAGTCATTACAGAGTCTAAACTCCTAGTAAGTTGTTGGTGGTTCTATGTAGTATGAAGATGTTTCCTGAAATAACCATGTGTAGTGATGAGAGCAATTACCTGCTTGGTCTGTCCTAAGTCTAGTTCTATCAGCCTGGTTGTAAAGAGGGTTCTATTCACTGGAAGCAGCTTCTTTGCCACATGACTATTCATGGTGACTGTTCCAGCTCACTATGTGTTTTCCCCTGTACCATTTTATTTTTACTTTGCGATTGCTGTGAAATACGTAAATGGTTGTTCCATTATCCAACCTAAACCAGCTGCAGTGCGGAGAAGTCAGATGAAACAGCAAATAACAAAAACCCAGTGTACACATGTAAAAATGACTAAATAAATCAAGTTTCTCGTTATGGTTTTTTCGAACAAAGAGAAAGCAGCTAGCTTACTATAGGAAAAATCTAGGTAGGCCACAGTATACACCGAGCACACAATAGTTATTCGTCCCCTGGGAGATTCGTTACCCAGAGCCATCATAGAAACCATCAACCATTTTATCAAACCTCTTCATCTACACTTGAAAAACTCCTCCAATTGGATGGAAAAACTTTCTTCTGTGGCCTATCTACCTTTCCTAGGCAAATTAGCTGCTATGCCTTTATTATAAAAGTCACAACCCTGGTGTAGAGCCTTTCCTTTGTTGTAAAACTTAGGCCTATTTAGGGCATGAGTTCGTTTTCAATTTAAACCACCATATTATTCTGTTTTGAATTCAGCAGTCAAAACATTGAACCAGTAATTGTAACACTACTTTTTTGCTGTCTTTATCAGAAAACATTAATTCTAATTGATTTACTTCGAAATCTTAATTATTTTCTTATTCACCATATCCATAGCTAAAGAGTAAGACCAGTGCTATCTCAGTATAAAAATTAAAATGTCCACACTTTTATATTATATTTTAAATTAAGGTAGCCTATATTGAAATGTGATTGTGATACATTACTTTTACTTATGTAATTTTAAATGTTTTGGATTTTATAAGGTATATTGTAATTTGTGATTATTTAATGACCAATAAAGTATGTGATACTTTACTCAGAAAAGTGGTATAAGTCATGTTTTGATTGGTTGCCTCAATAATATACAAAGTATTAAAGTTTTTTTTTTATCGGACAATTTGTCCTAGCTAAAGAAAAAGAACAAACATTTGTTAGAAACTCTAGGATTCGATCCGATGACCATCGGTGGTTTTTAAATCTCCAAGTGAAAGTACTGGGTGAGGCAAAAAAAACATCTATTTTTTTGTACACTCTGCAGCGACAGGTCGTTTGAGGGTAGTGAGGGCAGGCTCGTAGGAACGCCTACACACTGCCATTATCTGTTGTCCTAGAGCAGTGGTTGCCTAAGCTATGTGTGTTTGTTATCGAGTCATTTAAAAAAAAGTAATGATTCAGTAATTCGAACTCGGCAGCAGTTCCAGGCATTCTTTTAATTAGGTCGACATGGATATGTTCTGTTGCTCATAGGGATGAATTCTGTTGCTCGTTACAATCATCTGTAGGGATGAAAATTAAGATCAAACATTGCTCAGGTGACCACTGCTCCATGACTACAGATTAAGACAGTGTGTAGGCTTTCCAACGACCCTAACCCCACCAACCTCAGACGACTTATCGAAGAAGTTGAGAAGTGATCTACAGAAAACAGATTAGTTTTTTGCCACACCCAATCCTACCCAATATCAAGTCATTAATAACTTTTTGCAGTTTTTAAACCCTTTCAATTGATGTCTTGTAGGTTTTGGAACGGTGGACAAGTAGGCAACCTGTACACCCCCAACCCTGTTGGAGATGAGCCTGTGGCACAACCCTCGTCCTCTGGCTGGAGCTGGAGACGTCTTCCCTGGTCTCGTCAGCCTGCCACCTTACCACCTCCGTCCAACCAGTAAGTTGACACTTTAGTTTAGGACCTGTTCATCCTTATTTTTAATTTAGCTTAGGACATTCATCCTTTTTTTTATAAAATTGAAAGTCCTTAAATGTGTTCTCTATCGCCAGAAATACCTTATATAATCAATGTTAAAATGTCAAAGGTAATTTATAAATCTTGGGTACTCATGCAATGTCACAAAAAAATATATAAACTAATATAGGCCAAACACTATTAAGATACGTAACAAAATTTCCTTTTCAACCGTTCTCTTTCAAAAAAACGTCAAAATGCCACTGGCGTAAAAACACAAAAAAAAATAGTTCACGCTTAGTAATCAACAGTTTTTGATCCTGGAGGGTTCCATATTACCAAAAATGATGGATTAAAGTTAATATTTATTTTACTTGTCCTACAAATAACTGTATTAACTATGAGATGTTTCTTTGCAGGAGTTCTGGAGGCTACCATCAACCTCTCAACTGCAGCAGCCCAGACAGTCAGTATGGCTTCAACTCAGACCAAGGCCGAGTAGCCACTGTGTCTTCTGGCAATGCCTCATACACCGTGATAGAGCCCGTGATGACTCCTGGGTGTCACGTGTACCACTGGGGTCCTCCCCCACCGTACTCCGACCCCAACAGTCCCAGCAGGGGGGTTCTGTGCCCCCCTGGCCCCCACCACCACCACTGCCAACAGCAGAGGGCCATGGGCAACTACATCAACACAGATCCAGAGAATGAGCCAGAGTCATGTAGAGTACTGCAGTTACGTATCCCCAGCCGTCGACCGGACCTGCCTCTCTCATCATCATCGTCATCTGTCAAGTCTGGAGCTCAAGCGGCAACAGACACTCGTAGAGCGGACCTCAAACCACCCGACCCGGCTGTTGCCAACAGAATAAAATACATCCACAACAAACTTCAGAGTACCTCTAATAACTCGTCAAAAAAGCAAGCCCAAGAACAAACAGAATCCGAAGTTTACTTTGCAGATGTATCCAGTTGTAACGTATCTGTAAGAAATGATTCGATGTCTATATATGGTGAAGCCCTGGACAATAAACGAGTGGAAAGGATATCAGAACTGTCAGACGAATCGCTCGATAATCACAATGGAGAAGGATCCCAAAACCAGATACGCTCTTTACCTCATGCAGATGAGAAAAATTCTAGTTTTCAGATTGTTAGACCAACACAAGAAATTCAGGGGACCGATGTTCATTCTCCAAAAGAAATTAAAAGTTTTCAAAGAACTCACGGAGTAGGAGATATGTCGTTCTCGGGAATTCCTTTAGATTGCTCTGAAGACGATGATCCGGAATTGGTCAGCTTCAGTAGAAGACAAGCTTCTTTGAAGGAAGGTCTGTCTCACTACAGGAACAATCATTCCAATCAGAACAAGAGTGAAACTGAACACTGTATGGTAGAAACTTCACACAAAAATCAAAATGACTTTCCCTCACCAATGTCAATATCTTCACCTTCAACGGTCGGGAAAGGAAATGGTGGCTTCTATGCTGAAGTTGTGAATTCAGACAACGGTTCATCAGACTCTGTGTGGAGTGGATATTCTCCTGACCTTCTTGCACCAGATGCCCAGTACGAAGTCATCCCAGAACACAGACTTGCGTATTCTGAAGATTTCAACGGAAATCCTAATGAATGCAGTGGAAATCGTGGTAGAGCAAAATTCCACCCTGTCTCCAAAAAGAGACAGTGTTCACAAGTGGTAGGTGAGAGTTGGTCGAATAGTGCAGTGTGTAGTGAAAATCAAGATTTTAACGATAGGCAAAAGTTCAGCGGTTACAATATCAACTCGCAAAAAAATATTGACAGGTCAAAAGATTTCCAAAGAACCTCTAGATCTAACGAACGTTGCCTTGCGGATATTTTGAACTCCCCAAAATTTAACTACAAACACTCAAGACATGAACAAGTAAACAGCAGTTCTTCCTCTCAAGGTTTTCCCGAGCCGAGACGAAATGATTTCTCAATGCTTCTAGACCACAGTCTGCCTGGAAACAACATGGGAGGTTTTTACTACACAATTGGTGAGAACGACAATATGTGTTGTGAAAGACCTACTAATGACAGCTATGACATCGTTGGGAATGAAAAAGGAGAATCTCAAAATCCGCAGAGAATATCAGAATGTAAAGAAGTTGTTAGCAATACTCCCAAAGCAGCAGAGAGAGTAAAGTTAAACACAAACTTTGCAAATTCTCAAGAGCCCATAGAAAACACTGAATGTATTCACTCAGATAGTGGTTGCAAGTGCTACAATGCAACGGAAATGCCCAGTAATAACCTCAGAGACGTTTTACCTGGTAATATACATGAACAATAGATCTGTGTTGTGACATAGTGTACAAATGTTATTAATTTTTATATTTTAATGTTAAATAGTCTTAGTGATTATACTGTGGTTTTAATAACAGTTTTGTACATAGATATTTATTTAAACGATGCAGTGTTATAAACATAACTTTTCTAATTTTATAAATATTTTTTTTTATCAATCCCTATATTATATGCCTTCAAGACTAAAGTCTGGCATTTGTAACTTATGATTCTGTACTGCTAAAGGTTACAGTTGAACTCTTGACTACCCTAAAACTGCAGTCTTTTTAATGTCGAGTCGAAAAACGTCTGTTTGGGGTGAAAATGAAAAATATTTACTGCATACCATCTAGATCTGAAAAAAATTCTTTAACATAGTTGTTACAATTTCGATCAGACTATTTAAACATGTTTACAACGTCTATATTTCCAATGTCTGCTGCCAATATTGAATGTAGAGTAGGAACATCATAAAAATCATAAAAAGTCCATGCAAATGCAATTGCACTCATGTGAAAGGCAACAAAGACTGGTTAATGTTTGCTGGAATTATGTGAGCAATCTCTACTTATTAGGAATAGATTCTTCCTTATAGCTCATGGGTGGTTTTTAATTTGGTTCATGTCTATAACATTGTTCTAGGGACAGTAAAACTTTGGGATGGGGTTGGTGTAGTGTCAAGATCTTTGTAACCTTACATATACTCCTGTTTAAACATTTAAACAATGTTATTCCTACTTTTGTTCCCCTTACTTACAAACATAAATGATACAAAAGAGCAAGTATTTATATTACTTATTTTCTATATTAGTCACTTTAGTATACATACTTGTATAGTCACTATACTATACATACTAAATTCCATAAAAGTGCATTACAGCATTTTCCAAACTTAATAAATAATGCCACAGCTGCCTAGAAAAATCTGCTTCTGAGATGGTTTTGAGATTGAATGATAGAGCATTTAAAATTTTAGGTGCAAGGTATAAATAAAATTTCTTCAAAGCTGTTAAATATGGTTTTGGAACTATTGCGTTATACCTATTTCTTAATGTTATTCTCCTTTCGGACATAGTTTAAACCTCATCTCCACTTCTATTAATTTGTCAATTATCAAAGTCAAAATAAGAATAGTCAATTTCAGTACAACATTTCAATCACTATTTATTTACTCATCATTTTAACATTATTAAAAACATGCGACATTTAATCTTCACAAATAAGTTATAGCACAAATATAAAGATTAATCAATGGTCATGCATATATATGAAATTAGTCATTATCATCTTTCCCCTCCTCAGGTAGAATGGCAATTTATGTCATCGGACGCCGAAAAGTACCTTTTGTACTTACCTTACTAAGTACCTTTTGTACGGCTTCACCTTCAAGACAGTTTCTTTTATAAGTCTAGCTAGATTGTCATCATCAGAATACAATTTTACGGTATTTTCAAATGCAGAAAAGAACATAGGCCACTCATCTGGTCTACCACTAAAGTTTGGTAGTTGTTGGCGGCAAAGAGAGGTTGGTTGAATAGCTTTTTTGACTTTCTGCTAGTAATTGTGCAGCCGTGGTCATAGCGGTTGATGAACACTGATGAACTGTCGGTTCATTATCATTCAGCCACTTTACGACTTTACTCTCAGATTCTCTCTCCTCTCTCTGAGATATTAAGCTTTGACTTATGCTTACCTCAGACCCGCAGACTTGACTACCATTTGCCGATAGTGATTTCATAGAAGCCCTTATTTCCAGCATTTGTTTACGTCGCTCTAGCTCCCTCTTGTCTCTCAGCCTTTGTCGCTCCATTTCCTTCTCCAGCCGTTGTCGCTCCATTTCCTTCTCCAACCGTTGTCGCTCCATATCCTTCTCCTCCATCAGTCTTTGTCTTTCCAGCTCCTTTTCTTCAATTTCTCGTTCCAGTTTTTGTATTTCTTCCAACTTTTCAAGTTCTATTTCCATTTGTCTCCTGTTGCTTGATGTTGTAGATTTACTTTTTGTTTTCCTTGAACTAATAGAAGTAATGCTGGTTTGCCTCAATGCTACTTCTTGAGTGTCATTGTTTCCATTTCAGAAACATTCTTTGATAATTTGTCTGTATCCTGATTTTCATTCTGATCAGGGGTATACCTTTTTGGAGGTTTAACTTCTCTATTACTTTTTCTGTAAGACATGGTTCTTTTTTAGTTTCGGCACCAACTTTAAATTGTCAATTATCAAAGTCAAAATAAGAGAATAGTCAATTTTAGTACAACATTTCAATCACTATTTATTTTAACATTATTAAAAACATGTGACATTTTTAATCTTCACAAACAAATCATACAGCATAAATATAAAGATTAATCAATGGTCATACATATACAGGGTGATCAACTCAAGGAGGCCACCATTGGGATATCGGAAACGGTTAGAATTAGAGAAAACTTTAAATGGGGGACATTCCTTTATTTTTTGTATCAGTTAAAAATATGATTTTAGATTTTTGAAATTCAGCCGCCATTTTCCAAAATGGCGGCCAACTTTGAAATTTCTTATAGAACACCCTGTATTTGATCATGTTTTCGGATAGAACAGGCAATTTAAAAACTTTTTTATTCTTGACATTTTTTCGATAAACCCACTCGTTTAGGAGTTACAGCCTATGGAAAAATGACTTCCGGTGTACATTTTACACCATGTAGCTCCAAAACAAGCAGGTTTATAGCGAAAATGCGAAGATTAAATAAGTCTTAAAATTGCATCCACATTCCAAGCATACCATAAAATCCGTTAAAAATATGAATTCTGATGTTTAAAAAATGGCGGCCATTTTCCAAAATGGCGGCAAACTTGAAAATTGGAAAAACTGTGTATTTTATGGTCTTTTTGGAATGTGGATGCAATTTTGAGACTTGTTTGACTTATTTAATCTTCGCATTTTCGCTATAAACCTGCTTGTTTTGGAGCTACATGGTGTAAAATGTACACCGGAAGTCATTTTTCCATAGGCTGTAACTCCTAAACGAGTGGGTTTATCGAAAAAATGTCAATAATAAAAAAATTTTAAATTGCCTGTTCTATCCGAAAACATGATCAAATACAGGGTGTTCCATAAGAAATTTCAAAGTTGGCTGCCATTTTGGAAAATGGCGGCTGAATTTCAAAAATCTAAAATCATATTTTTAACTGCTACAAAAAATAAAGGAATGTCCCCCATTTAAAGTTTTCTCTAATTTTAACCGTTTCCGATATCCCAATGGTGGCCTCCTTGAGTTGATCACCCTGTATATGAAATTAGTCATTAACAACTTCTTTTATAAAATATTTGTAAAACTTTATACATACAGGGTGAATTTTAAATGAGTTCCCCCCCTACTTTTTTCTACATTTCTTAAGATATCAACTTCGGACCACGTCAGATCATTGTAGTGTAGTAAGTACTTCATTTTGACTGGATAAACATTTTTGGCCGCCATCTTGGATCCGCCATATTGGATACAAAATTTTTTTTTCAAATGTAAAGGTAGGGTTGTGACCCATTGTTTCAAACTAGAATTTTACGCTGATTACAATGCTGCAATTAGTTAAAAAAAATCTTGATCCGTTCTAAAGTTATGAGGACTTTTTATAACTTTATTTTTAGCCCATTTTAACATTGTGCATTTACAAACTAAGACCATAATCTCAAAATAGTGCTAGATAAAGATAAGTATACACCACCATTCATTGTCAACCTATTATCACTTGGTTATGACGGATTAATTTTTTTCGGCCGCCATCTTGGATCTGCCATTTTGAAATGTGATAAATTAATTTAAATATGAAGGTGGTGTTGTGACCCATCATTTCAGACTAATTTTTTATGCTGAATTTAATGCCGCAATCTGTTTTGCATTTTCATATTTGTTTTTTGAAATATTGGAAATTTAAGTAAGATAATTTTAATATTTCATCAAGAAAGCCTGAGAAACAAAAACGGATTGCGGCATTGAGTTCAGCATAAAAAAGTAGTTCAAAATGATGGGTCACAACACCACCTTCATATTTAAATTAATTTATCACATCTCAAAATGGCAGATCTAAGATGGCGGCCAAAAAAATTAATCCGTCATAACCAAGTGATAATAGGTCGACAATGAATGGTGGTGTATCCCTAGTAGCACAAATATATATTAAATACATATGAATAAATATATTTAAAATCTATTTTATATATCTCAAGTGTGTATTAATGTCAATTTTATATAATATTTAAAATATATTAAATATATAAAAAATATGTTTTTGAATCTATTAAATATTTTAAAAATATGTTCCAATAATATATTTTAGTGAATAATATTTAAATAAAAAATGTATTTAATATCTCTTCCAAACATCCCATGGGGCCTAAACATAAAAACACAAAATAATAAAGATTTAGTATGAAAAACACAATTATCAGTTGAGTAAATTGATTAAATAGTTCATTAAAACAAATTTTGAAAAAATTACTGGAAAAAATTTGTTCGGCCCAGGTGGGTCTTGAACCTGGGTCCTTCGACTTATGAGCCTCCTACCTTACCTCTGAGCTACTTGTGACTGTTGTTAGCATTAGTTTTCAAGTGGTGAAAGAGTGGCCCTCAGTTGCAATGGTTGCAATACTTGAAATATTTTTGATACTACAGTATAATATGATTCTGTTAATCTGTTTTGGCATCAAGTAGTTGAGTTGAATAGTGCTGTAGTGAATAGTGAGTAGTCTCCACGAATACAAATACAGTAAACTACAAAAATTAATTTAAATACTATGACAAATATTATGTAATTTATGGCATATGTAAATCAAATTAATATTTTTAGAACGTCATATAGAACCGTAATTAGTTTCTTAAAAGGTCGCCAGTCACTAGCACCCTTTTCTAGCCAATCATTCGAGATTTCTATGATCACATTCATTTCATTGTCACATATTACAAATTAAAAAAATAAAACCCATCAACACTTTTTTTCGTTTGACCCAAATGTAGCTGTCGAACATGTATTCTGCCTCTTAACTATATGATATTTTTTTCTTTACGTGTATGATAGAGTGACACCATTCAGAGTACGTATTATTATTAACTTAATTTTAACGCTTTCACAATAGCAATTATCATACAAAAAATGCATGTATAAATATATAGACACTATAAAAAACAAAAGATGCAAATTATTTATTTGCTAATTATAAAAGATTATTGGCTATATATTCTACAAATATAATATTATTTTATTAATAAAAATATCTGACGTGTTTCAAAATATATTTATAAATAATTTAAATATATAATATAGTTTTTAAAATATTTTATATATATATTTAAAATATTCTCAACACACGATTTTTTTAAATATTTAATAGGAAAAATATACATATAAAATATGTATATTATAGATTCTATACTTGTTTTATCAATAGATATTATGAATC